ATATATCCTAGATATATTAATCAATATATTACGATTATAAACATTGAAGTTCTTAATTAATATGATGAGTTTGTAAGAAAATTCTCTGTGATGTAATCACTGATTCTATTTCGTTTACGGAATATCTGATAATAAAAGCTATCTCTGCCGAATTACGCTGACGTTGGTAAAGTTGTTCAACTTATGAGATCAAAGAAATTTTGATGTGGAGGCAAAAATATTTTATGTTGGCCAATTCGAGATGAATATCAAAAGTCACGTACCTCTATTTACAATAGGGAGCTCGCTTAGTTTATATAATGTAAGGTTATTTAAAATCTTATGTTCTTGATAATACTTATTGTCTTGGTAATTCCTTATGGACTTCCGCAATACAGGTTCGCCAAGTGCGGGGTCCAATGTACTCACCTTATAATTTTTTTGTGATAAATAAGTAAATAAATAATCTTATTTCCTGTTCAGGTATTTTCAGTTCAGTATATCAGTATATTGTCTGCCAAAATGTTTCTGTGTATCTTCACTAATTTATTTCTACTAACGTAATTTTTTTACTATCTTACTATCAGTCTAAAATTAACATATATATATATATATATATACATATATATATATATATATATATATATATATATATATATATATATATATATATATATATATATATATATATATATATATATATATATATATATATGCAGTTATTTGGCACAATATGTATATGATATGTATGATTGTGTTTTGGATTGAAGAATGGGATATGGTGATGAAATTACTAGATTCCAAGATCATGCTATTGTTAGTAGATAATAATTTGAATCTTTCTTCAGGAATGGAACTAGAGATACCTCGCGGTCACTGTGTATCCTGTGACACTGATAGTTTTGTTTATATCTATAGTGACGGTTAGCTTTTGATCAAGTTGATCGGTAACTTCTTCGGCATTTAAATAAAATAATAATAAATGTGTAAACAACACGAAAGTTTAAAATATACAAATAATAAAACCAATTATTGTCTAGTCTTTTAAAACTGATGAAAAAATCAAACTAGAATTTAATTATTGACTTAAAAATAATGGCCTCAGTTACAAACTTAATGAGCTTACTTAAATTAGAATACTAAAAATTTTTTTTAATAAAAATGTCTTTGTTTGTCAATATAATTGATGGAAGTGATAATATTCCAATGTGTTATGACAAGATTCTAATCGGAAAATGTAATCTTAGGTTTCATTTATATATCTATATGTAAAAAAAGTAAAAAAATTATTTCTGTACATAAAATAGGCATCTAACATTTATAAAATGTCGAAATATGTAGTGTATGTGTTGAATTAGATACCTATACAAACTTATGAAACTTGTTTGGCTAACAGTACTAACATGAATCCTGCAAAACATATTTTTGTATTTTACTCGTATTTGAGTATCTTAAACAATTTATAGAATACGTTTTTGCACACAATAATTTCTTTTTAAATTACTAAATTCAGTAAAAAGACATACTACAATTATTTATTAAGGTTGGTGGAGCATTTATGGGAGATATTTTTTTCATACAACTTGGAATAAACAAACAAGCTGATGGTGTTGTGTGCTGTGTTGTGTTGTGTGATGGATGATGATGATATTACGGAGTAAACTGTGATCTGTGTACATTTCACTAGAACATACAGAACATACCTCCTGTAATTTCATTGTCGTGTCAGTTCAGTCGAATTGAAAATCATGAACGAAGCCGCGGGACTAGCAAGTTTAATTGTTTAATTCAATTATGTTTCTCGATATGTTGTCATTACTTGTTTATCACTATTTTTTTTATCGTAACCAAATTTCAAAGGTTGTCAACTGTCAATTGTATCTTAAATTATTTAATCTTTCTATTACCGGTGTTAAGTACACAATATAAAACTCTTAGATAATTATAATACAAGCAAAGCCATGATATTCTATTAGGTGTCCGCGGTGTTTGCTGATTTTTCGGATTTATCCAGTGGAATTGGCATATTAATAAGCTATAACGAAGACTTCTAACTGTCTATCTAATTGGGTAGAAAGCACTCTATTTATTTATACTTTTGTACACATTAAAATAAGGCTACATCTTAATGCCTGATGGCATTCTCTACCAGTCTGTATGTAATTTAACGGGTGATAATGAAATGGCAACCATGCCTGCGCTAGCAGTATTGGAGTGAGGATGAAAGCAGATCTGTTGGCCCATCGTGACGAATTCCACTAGAATTAACCACGACAGTTTCTGGGGGGAACCACGTGGAGGTCGACCTGATACTGATACCTAGCAGTACACCCACTGCTAGTAATGGAAAAATTAGACCCCATTACTAACAATCCCTTCCCTCCTACTCTATGTACTTGTTGTAATATCTCAAATATTATATGTATTTCAACTATTATACATATTGGCGAATGATTAATTGTTTATACACACAGGGAATCGAATACAAATAAGCGATTGAAATTTAAAAACCTTCCTTATATTAAACGATAAAAACGAGAATTTTCAAACAAACGTACGTATAAAAATAATTTGTACAAGATTTCATGTGTTCTTACTCATTAATACGAGCCATACATAAATCGATTTCTAGGAAATAGCAATATTTAGATTCCGTTTTACATTTAAGATTTTGTTTTAATTATAATAAGTGGGCCTTGAATCGAACTTAAAAGTGATTGAGTGATTGATTGATCGAATAATTCTGGATTCTGCGTATTGATGGAACTATATGAAAGAATATAAAGAAGATCTTTGCTCAACAGTGGATATTACTTATAAAAAAATAATGATTTCCCGCTATAATGCCCGCCATATTATAACGTGAGTGATCTCAACGCGTGAACTTTATCGCGCTTTTTGTGATTATATTACCGTAGATTTTTACGAATAGCGGCCCGTCCCGGCGCCGCGCGGGTGGACATTTTTAACATTTCCCTTCACTGCTCTGCTCCTATTGATCGTAGCGTGATAAAAAGTATACTATAACCTGCCCAGGAGTATGAAGGATAATTGTACCAAGTTTCGTTAAAATCCGTCGAGTAGTTTATGTTTCTATAACGAACATATAGATAGACAGACAAAAATTTTACTGATTGCATTTTTGGCATCAGTATCGATCACTAATCACCGCCTGATAGTTATTTTGGAAATATATTTCATGTACAGAATTGACTTCTCTACAGATTTATTATAAGTATAGATATTTAATAGCAATTCTTTCTGTTATACTTAGAATTAAGGTATGGAAAATAACCACTCCCATAATCATTGAATTTTGTAGTAATAAGTGAATGTGTGTTCAGCTTTGAAATGATAGTTGGGCCTTTTAATTTGACTCAATATTTATTTATTTAATAGTTACTCAAGATATTTCCTTTAATGCGCATATTTTTTTTGATGGGTGAAAACGGAAATCCGCCTGCGCTAACGGGATACGCTGGCGGAGCACCAGTGAAGGGTGAGAGATGAGAATGAAAACAGTAATTGGCCTGTTTCACCCATCATGATGAATTCATCAGGAATTAACCATGATAGTTTCCAGGGGGAACCGCGAGGAGGTCGACCTGGTTGAGTATATTGCTAGCAATGGGATTCTCAGTCTCCATTACTAACAATCCCTTTCCATCCTAATGCGCATATTAAGAATATTTTTATAAATAAGATACATTTATTAAGACAAATCAGTGGTGAAACTTAATTTCCAATAAGACCAATACGGAACCAAACCAAAATATCCTACTGAATTTTAAGTCTTTTATTAATTTACATCGTGTTATAAAGATGTACTTATAGTTTGCGATATGACGTATTCAATCTGCATGCCATAAATTTATAGTGATAATGGAGTTATTATCGTTTATTGAGACTGTGTATATATATTGGCGATTTTGAAAATTGTATCAAAACAGATCGACAGTAGGTAAGTGTATATTTGTTATAATAAATAATTATTGAACAAATGCTAGTGTTGAAAATAATTAAATAAATAAAGAACGTGATAAATGTACATGAAATAAAATAGTTTTCTGTTTACCATATAAAAGTATTGGCGTGAAGATAGTAATTTCTTGCGGTGATCGTCGTGGCATAGTGATATTCTACTTAATTACTCAAAAGGTTGTAGGTTCGAATCTGGGCGCTACGAAAAACTTTGTGTATTACTTTAAATTTTCTAATTCTCCATTGATGGAAAACATCGTTAATGTATAAATTAATCCGAAGATACATTAATTCTTTCGGGAAAGAAATTTCACATACCTTTGCAATTTCCAATTTAGAAATTTGTTGTTATCACAAGTAACTATTATAATTAGAAAAGGCGATAAAGATAATTAGTTATAGTAATATTGGATAGATTAGCATCTAAAAGTGGTACTTGTACATGAGATGAATGAGCTATAATTGTCTATGTCAAGTGTCTATGGTTCCCATTTACACCAAATAATTCAAATTAGCAGAACTTCCCAGCTTCGTTTATTAATCTAGAGCATGGTGTATCATCCACATCCTGTGCAGTATCCTATTAGGTTAATCTTTACGCGGGCACTCTTGGAAACTAATCGTGGTTAATTCCTGGAGAATATTTCACATTGGACCAACTGGTTTGACTACATTCTCATTTATTTCACTATATATATCTCACTGGTAACCTGTCAGCATATACCAATATTACAGGCGGAAGTTACCATTCCATTTTTATAATTTTAAAGATTCATTAAGTTTCTTATATGAGTATATAAACAAATATTCAAATATACTTAGAAACTTTAACATTTATGCTATTACCCCCTTCTTTATAAAGACGTTATACCTCTCATTTAGCTATTTAAGTGTTTAGTCCTTTTATTTTACGCTAATTTCTCAATTGGAAAGACAATAACAAAACACTTCAATAGTTAAAATAGGTTTTTAGGAGATTTTAGTTTTTATGAATAAGGGAGTTAGAGTATATTTTACGATATATATTGATTATTTATCAGAAAGGCTGAGTCATGAAATTCCTGGCTGTATTCGTTGCTGTGCTAGCGGTGGCTGCTGGTACCCGCCACAGATGGACTGTAAGCGAGCTGTCCGAGGCTATCCAGAACCCAATCACTAGCCCATCTCTGTTGCCCGCTCTGAAACATGGACTGAACGCTTACATGGAAGCTATCTTCTCCGGTTTGGATTACGTAAGTACATTGACTATATTTGTCTAGCCTGGCATAAAATAGTGATACCAGTATATTAAATATATAATTGTTGTTATAGGAATACATTTACATCAGCACTGCCGCGGTTGATCTATCCACTTGGACTCTTCAAGACCTGTCCAGTGCTTTGGAGAATCCCGAGACTGATCCCACTCTCATACCTTACCTCGAAGAAGCTATTAATGCTTTGATGCAAGACATATTTGCCGGATCTGCCCAGGTATATAAAATTGATATATTCCCTTCACAGAGTTCTCAAACTATTGATACGAATTAACCCGACATAGGCGTATTTAAGATTAATATAGAAACGGAAGAGGAGGAGGGGGGTTCTGGTCCCAAAAAAAAAGACCCATATATAGTCTTTGCATGTCGTATCTGAACGCTCGGTCAACATCATGGGGTGGGCGCCAGATAATTCCAGGGTAGGTACGGCCTACGCCTCCTCTCCCTCTTTAAATACGCTATTTAAATTCAAATCGTCTTTTTTCAAATAGACTTGTTTACAAGCACTTTTTTATCGTCACTTTTTTATGAATGCAGGGTTCGGAAAGTTGTTATCTGCTGAGAAGAGTTCACAAAAAACTCAACAGTTACTCTTTTAAATCTCTGTTAACATTATGTGTATTTATTTAAATATATGTTGTCTATGTAACCCGAATAAAGTTTTGTTTCCATGTCATAATACTTATTACTTAGTATTTTATTTCAGCCTAGTACTTCTGTCGTCATCCCCGCTAGAGACCTCTCTTACTGGAGATTGAATGAGTTGTACGAAGCTCTGTTGAGCTCAGAAACCAGCACCGACTTGGCGCCTTACCTGATTAACGGTCTTAACATTCTGTCAGCAGCCGGCGCAGCTGGTAAAGAAGTGGTACGTAGTTCATTAGTGGTATTTTTATTTTGTGGGATATTTATTTATTTGTTAAACAAAAGAAATAGATGACATGAGTACATTGGACCCCGCACTAGGCGAACCTGTATCGTAGGAGTCCATAAGGGATAATCGCTTTTTAACGATTGGCTTAATTCTCAATGTTCAGTAATATAAAATAGTTAAGTTTCATTGTTTATATAATAATAAACCTTAACATAATTCCTTTTAGCATGCTAGAATTTATAAAATTAAATTTATTATACGTTTAAGAAATAAGACTATTTCTTCATAATGTTTACCTCAATTACTGACAATTTGGTTTACTCAAAATTTTCTCACTGAAAATATTTTTTTTCTTATATAGGACGCTGTCGTTTTGGCTATTCCTTTGGACCTCCTGCCCTCCGTTGAGGTTGCCGTTCACCCCGAAGCTATCGTCGACCCCGAGCCTCAGCCAATAGTCCCTGAACCTCAGCCGATACTCCCCGAACCTGTGCCAGTTCCAATTCCTGAGCCAACACCGGAAACCCCTGCTGCCCCCGTCGCCCCCTCCAACAGCCCACTTGTTCAAATCATCTTGAACATCAACCAAGAGAACCAGGTAAGAATTATATTTTTTTTATTGTAGATTTTAGTCCCGTTATGTTTTGAAACAAAATGAATAAGTCATTCAATCCTAGATTCAGAATATAATATCGGACAGGAACAATGAATACAAACTGTGTTTATGTTGTGATTATATCAGATCTCAATGAAAACTTGAAACACTGAGAAACTAAGGAAAGTTCCTATAGTATAGGTATCTAATATGATATTTTCTTTATCTATTACACACATGGATTTTTAATTTGGCTCTATGTATACATTTAGAAATCCATTTATCATCATCATAATTTATTTTTCCTGCAGGCGTCTGTCGACGTGCCCGCCTCTAACCCCGTTGTCGAGCGCCCCGTGCCCGAAATCACCGTTGAGCCAGTCCACATCATCGACAGGCCCATCCCTGAGGCCACCCTCAACCCCGTCGACGTGATCTCGCCCCCTATCCCCCTCCCTGAGTACAACCCCATTGATGTCATTGCTGTTGTGCCCAACCCTGCAGGCAACGCTGTAGGACCCATCGTTTAAATTGGAAATTTGTTACAGCACATAACTAACTTAATGTCTATTGAAATAAAGAACTGAGTATTATATAATTTTTTAATTTATTTCCACAAATTATATCAAAAAGAGTTTGCATGGCAGGTTATGCCTATAATCGCAACACCAGGCTTAAGAGGGTCGAATGGTGGTTATTAAAAATATTAAAAAAAAATAATATAAAGTTCAGTGCAGATCAAAAGAGTAGTAGGAAAAAATTCTTTATTGTTTGATATTAAATACAACTGAATTTTGGTTGTACTTGAAGTTGTGTAACGGCTCTTATAGCCACACGAAGGTAACGGTAGCTTAGTAAAGTCCCCGCGACATTTAATGCAATCGATAACTTCTTTACCAACACTTTGTTGATCAAAACCTGGAAATGGTGGACATTATCAAGTGTTGATTTGTATGAAGTGGTAGTAGACTGTTCCGTTATCGCCTGCACAATAACTAAACATGTAAAAAAAACAATGTGGAGTGTATTATACACTCACTATATTACAGTTGATGATGCCGAACTAGTGTCTGCAGGCAGTCTACAGGGGGAGGGGAAGGATTGTTAGTAATGTGGATTATAAGTCCCACTATTAGCTATACCCTATCAGGTCGACCTCCATATGGTCTCCCCTGGAAACCATCGTGACGAATGGACCTGGCATTCATCACGACGAACTGACCTGCCTTTTCATTCTCATCTGTCATCCCTCACTGGTGCCCCGCCAACGTATACTGATAGCGCAGGTGGGTTCACCATTCCGTGTATTAAAACGAAGCAGCATTAAAACGAAAAATTAAAAGGTATAATGTAAACAATTTTACTATGCATGATACATGTTAATTATGGGTGTTGAACGGTGCTGATCTGTTTCAGTGGGTATACGCTACTTTTCGTGCCTGACACGGTCTTATTACGGTCAAACAATATAGTGGGTATAGAGCTTTTAGAAAATGGATTTTCAATTTATTCAGTTTTACATTTGACTTTTAAATTGTTAAAAATATTCAGTGATAATGGATTAATATTTTTTTTATACTATTTAGAATGGTAAACAAGCTGACGGCCCACCTGATGGAAAGTGGTAATCGTCGCCTATAGACAGGAGCAGTACCATGGACATAACAGAGTATACTGTTTCGCCCATGATACTCCCCATGCGTTGCAATTCCTGAGGACTCAGGTGTTATTCCTCTGTACCCTGTAAATTCATGCCATATCCCACCCTTCAAACCGAAACACAGCCATTCAAACAGAACTGCTTTACGGTTGAAACACGAATGGGACAGAGGAACCCAAGCAAACGACTTTTGTACAAAGTCTCCTTCTGGTAAAATATTATTAATCTGAGTTAGAAACAGTAACCAACTCGCTCTATATAAGTTAGGCACTTGGCATATCAATAGTTGCGTTCAACATAACTGTAACAGTTGACAATTGCCTCTGACTTTACTATTAGGTCCTCATCATCATATCAGCAATTCACATAGGCCTCCCCCATTTGGGAGTTTGTCAGTAGTTGCCACGCTTGACATGCGGGTTAGCAATAGCAGTTAGGCTTTGGTGATGTTTTAAGAGGGATGCTGCTGTTCATCTCTCGACTATTCAGATTCCTTAGTCGCCTCTTATGACGTCCACGAGAAAGAAAGGGGAGCTCTGTTATTAGGTATTATAGTCGTAAACAATTTTTAAAGATTACCGACCAATAGACTGAAATGTAAAAGTCAAAAATAGTATTATAAGATAGATAGATAGATAATTTATTTGCATTACTTACAGCACATAAATTACAACATACATATACAAAAAAAAAAGCGAGATGACATAAATATTAAAAAAAAAAATACATAAAGCTAAATACAATTTTCGTTTCTGAGTGTGCCATAGCAATACAAAATGGTCACAACTCAGTTTATAAGACACAGATTTTATGGTATGTTACTCTTACAGTAAATATTCAACTAAAGTTTTATCTTTGGGATGGTCACACAAATATTTCATAAAGATAACAAAAATATTCCAAAAACCATCAGTTTAATGCTAGAATATAAAATTCCATGTGTCATCTATAAACAAATGCATAAATATACCCTAATGCATATAGGTACGATATGTATATAAAATATTAAGTACATACTATTATATTTACATGACATATGTCTACTCATTTGTCCACGGCACACCTGATGCGTTATCATTTTAAAAATATAAGTATTACAGTAATATAACTAAGCGATTAGATTAGCTATATTGTGTTCAATAATTCAATATATATATATATATATATATATATATATATATATATATATATATATATATATATATATATATATATATATATATATATATATATAAATGTATTAGTTAAGGTTTACTTTAGTTTAGGAAATACAGGGTAAATCCGTTTAATTAAATAAAATTATCAAAATCGGTAAAAAATACCGAAGATAGTGTATAAACGCATCATGGCGTGATGTCTTGGATTTACAGGGTACAGAGGAATAACATCTGAGTCCTCAAGAATGGCAACGCATGGGGGGTATCATGGGCGAAACAGTATACTCTATTATGTCCATGGTACTGTTCATGTCTATAGGCGACGGTTACCACTTTCCATCAGGTGGGCTGCCAACTTGTTTGCCATTTTAAGTTGTATAAAAAAATATACAAAAAAATTGTGAGAAACTTCTCCTTTTTGAAGTCGGTTAATGATCGAAACACAAACATCTTCAAAGTATCTATTAGTAATTAATTATTGCAATACTTATTTTAGTTGAAAACTCAAATTCAAGCGTATTTATTTGTTTTAATAACGTACTGTAGATGGCTGATAATACCTTTTTATGTTTGTCATACTAATACCAGTAAATATTAAATACTCATTTCCTTAAAGCGATTTATTCTAGAAATATGATGTTTCAACCAATACATAGAATATTTGAGAAACCAGCCAGATTATTACATATTCACTAATCTTACTTCCTACTATTATTATAAACGTGGAACTTTGTCTTTGTCAATCACGCTTAATTGGCTAAAGGGGTTTCAATGAAAATTGCTACATATATGGACCATTTACTAGATTAAGATTTTTGGGACAGGGAACCAGTGCTGTTTAAATAAGGTTTATTAGGTTAGATCATGCGAGTTTGAGTTATTAAAAATGATGAGATGTACTTTCATGTGTTGCCCTTCATGATAAATTGAAAGAATTCTACTGATATTACCAGAGGGAGATTTTGTACAAAAGTCGTTTGCTTGGGCACCTCTGTGTCCTATTCGTGTTTCTACCGTAAAGCAGTTGTGTTTGCATGGCTATGTTTTGGTTTGAAGGGTGAATTTACAGGGTATAGAAGCATAACACCTTAGTAGTCCTTAGGAATAGCAATACATATATTCTGTTATGTCTCTCATATCTATAGGTGATGATTACCACTTTCCATCAGGTGGGCCGTCAGCTTGTTTGTCATTCTAAGTAAAAAAAATTATAATCGTTCAGTCAATATCATTTTGAAAGCCTTTATATGGAACTATTAAGGCTTGGACCTTAATACTACTAGTTATTTTCCATGAAGTCGCCATCCCTCGTTCTCAAGAGAATTCAGAGAAATTCTTTTATAGTAAATGTATGCATACCGTATGGAGTGTACCAAATTTCAGCTTGGTAAGTCAATGTAAATGTAAGGATTTCCTCGTTATCAGGAATTCCAAGAAAAGTTTCTGATTTGTTGTACATATGGGACCAAATAAATACAAATTGCACGTGACCAAATACTGTTTTTTTTTGCAAATTTAATGTAATACGGCGCATTCGCTGTATCGCATTAAAACTGCAAAAAACTGCATTGTACACATAATGATGTCTACTATTTTATCGTTTTATAAACATTTATCTATATATACATATGAATTTTGACAAATTGATAGATTATGTGATGCAATTGTTATCTTTTTCATCCGACTTGAAAAAAGGAGGAAGTTGTGGTATTATTTTCTATATTTGTTAACTCATAACTCGGTCAATTATAAATCGATTTGGAAAATTCTTTTTTTATCTGAAAAATATTTTTTTACTTTCAGATTACTTGCTTAGAAATTTTTATATTAAAATAATTAGATTAAAAAAAAATGTTTTTATTAAGATCAAAGTTGGTTTTTTGTGGAATGGTGTGTGTGTGTGTGTGGTGTTTCCACTTCTAGAATAAAGCGTTTTGAAAGTTGTAAAGAAAATTAGTTTTAGACATAATCAATATCAATATGTAATAGACATTATGATTTCGTAATCATCATTACTTGATGCATGCTTGGGAGAATATGTCACGCCGGTAAGCTATGCCAGAGACTATCATCTATAACGACGTCAACGATAGGTTTTCCAAACTCCATAAAGGAGGGTTAGGTAAGGGCCTCGGAACAGACCTCTTTACCCCCGCCTTCAACTCCAGGGACGACTACCTCCGGTGTTCTCTCATCTTGTTAGGGTGAGGCGTGGTCTACTTTAAGTATAACGAGGGCAGTCTAAAAACTCTTGATGTCAGAGGGCGCTCCTCTCATAAAAGAAATGAATGGTTAGACATTGTAGCTTATACAGTCACGCGTATGTTTTTTTCTTATAGGTAAATATGGAATGATAATTCCGCTTTCGCTATCGGTATACACTGATAACCTTATCAATATATACCGATAGATAATAATGGTATCCACAACTGAGAGGTAATTGGTAAGGATGAAAATAGGTCAGTTAACCTATCCTAACAAATTTCAAATAAATTAGTTAAGACGGTTGCCAGAGGAAACTGCATGAGGTCGACCTGATAGGGTATATTGCTAAAATTGGGGCTGTTACACTCCATTATTAATAATCCTAATAAATAATAAATATTTAATGTTTTTGTGGATGGTAAATGATTCATTTCACAATTTTTTTTTAATGTGAAAGGAAAAACATATAATGTTGCTTTCCGGTAAAAACTTTGTTTAGGATTTTCTTACCGTTACTTTAAAAATTTACCTTTTTGTAAAAAAATTCAAGTCGAATAATTTTTAGTATGAAGTATGAACGAAGCCTGTCTAAAAAAAAAAACGTACGTACGTAATGCACACGTTTGGCACATTATTACAAAACTACATTTCATGACGATTCTAAAATGTACACTCTGTATGTATGTATTCTAAAATACACTGTATGTATATAGTAAAAACATACCCACTAAATTATCTCTGAGTCACCAAAAGTTAACCTCAAGTTATCTACTTCGAGGTGAGGTCATGCGAATTTTTCACTATAAAATGTTTATTTTGATGTATTTATCGTCAACTGACAAGCCCAACGCCATATCTCGAGTGGTTGAACGTGATTTATATAGAGGTATGGTGGGTCGATACATCACAGTCTTAGTTTGCTTAGTTCACAACCTGACGTCGAAGTTCGACGGATTTATCAACAAACTGTAACAAGTAAGCCTCGCTTTTGCAGCCGGAAGCATCTTCAAAGGAGGAGCTTCTCAATTTATTGCACTTTATGTAAACGTTATGTGATATCTTACGGAATTATGAAACGATAAGGTACACTTCCATATTCGTCTTATATTAAGTTTTTTGTGAACGGAGACTTTTTTTTGGGAAAATAGATTTTAAATTATGGCAATATAACTAAGTGTAATATAATATAAGATCATGCAGACATCTGAATTTTTATAGTTCAAGTGGCTAAGCAGATTTCAATGTTTTATATATTGCTAAATATAATTAGTTGATTAGTTAAATATTTTTATAGAAACTATTTATACATATGTGAGAGTTTCTTAAAAAAATATATTTTAGAGTTATATGATGTAATATGATATAAGTATTTATGTTTGTCGGAACTGTCTAGATATTTGAATTCATTGTTGCAATAACTAAATATCTAGAATGATAATTTTTTTAAGTCATGAAACTAATTTCTAAAAGATCCACTAGGGTTTCTTTATTTATAAATCTATGAGACATTTCTTTGACGAGATATGAGATATAAAAGCCGTAATAATATGTTGCAGTAATATTCCTTGATAGCGCAAAACAAGTTTAGGAAGAAAATACTATTATTATAGGTCATTATTAAAGAATAGTAACCCGTTCCGGCTTCGTATGGATTTTTTTAATAAAATCCACATACTTTGCTAATAATATGGCCTTCTATAGGTCAAAGAATTTTCAAAAGTAGTTTGATATGCGTTTTTAATAAATCCTTTAAAAACTAAAATATTAATTCTTTCCTCATTGTAAGTTTAGAAGATACTACAACTATAAGATATATAGAAGATACGATACTTAATTTATGAAAACGAGTCATGTAATAGATTATTAATAGATTAAGAATAGTGTCTGTGGTTTCAGATTATCACTAGTCCAAATCATAGACTTAGTATAACGTACTACCAAATCAAATTCCAAATAGATATGGATTCTCATTTCAGAGATAATAAATTCAAGGTAATTTCTTTAAATTATGCAATTAAATCGTAGAAAGAGAATGCTAGGTACCATTCTTAATCTATGGTTTTAGTCTTTTATTACTTAGTTAGCCACTATATTATTTTAAACATTCTCGTATGTGAATATTTCTCAAATTTAATAATTTGTCATTTTCCAAAACATTGCTATATCTATTAAGCATATCACATGGCCAATAACCATTTAATACATGTTATCATAGTAATAAATTAGCTAATCCAGTTAATTGTACAATATGACATATATATAATAGCAACAATAAACGTAATCAATAATAACATTGATAATGATATTGATCATAAATTTGTAGGCACAGTCAGCGTCAGTAATTGCGTTGCAGAAATTGAATACTCCTTATAAAGTTCTTTGCATAATAATTTAATACTGGAATAAAATAAAATATGTATTTTTTTTTATACCACGAAGGTGGCAATCAAGTACAGCGTGTCTGATGATAAACAATTACTGTAGCCTATGGACGCCTGCAACACTAGTGGTGTCACGTGCGTGTTGACATTGTTGAACATAAGCCTCTCCTTTGGGGGGGTTTGCCAGTAGTTGCCACGCTTGATAGGCTTTAGAAAGTTTTTAAAATGGACATTGTTGACCATCCCTCGCCCTCCCTTAGTCGACTCTTACGACACCCACGGGAAAGGAAGGGGTGGCTTATTCTATGCTGGGACCACACGGTCAATTCTATTGCTTCCTAATTATATCTGTGTTCCTAAAAACATATAAAATATCTAGGTTTTTAAGTGAAATGGAGTGGTAATCCCGTGTTATTAGTATATCAGTGAAGGATAAATGATAGGTGAAGATGAAATCAGGTAGGTTTATTATTGACATTTAAATGAACTAATCCGGAATTCGTTACTAAAAGCATAAATCAATGAGTTAAAAAAATACCAATCGAAAGATAAATCCCATAGAGATTAAAAACCAAGGCCTCAAAGCCGCTTTGCTTCACAAGCAGTTCAGCATAAAAGTATTCAAAATATGAAAGAGATAGCCATAAGAATGCCTGTTGTACTTTATAAGCGTAATATAATATACGAGTACATTTGTATTATTCTTTAAGTGGTACAATATATAAATAAATTTCTGTCCTGCATACTTATCAGCTTTTTAAATTTTATAATAGGTCCCCAGGTCAATTTGTCCGTCTTGATGGATTTATCGGGTAAATTCGTTTAGTAGACGTCTTATAATTCTTTGATATGGAAAAACCATGGATTTTAACGACTTCCATAACAATAGAGTTCTAAAATTGTCTACTTTTGTTTCTTTCTGTGTGTATTTCAAACATATTTTTGCCAATTCTAAACTAAACTACACTTATTTTTTGCCTAGCAAAACTTACCTATTTACTTATATTTATATAAATATTTATTCTATTCATAGAGAACAACAATGACTTCAGTACCCACCGTGACTATGGATGAGCTATCAAGAGCTGTACAGGACACCACCATCAGTCTCAACGCCAAGAGGGTTCTAGAAGGCATACTCAATGACTTCATGGACCTGCAATTCGGGAAGGAAACACCTTATACAACTGGAAAAACGGTTATCCCATCAGGATCTACCATCGAGGATGTAAACATTAGTGCTACTGATTCATCAATAGATAAGAAATTCCGAGATATCTTTGTAAAAATTTCAAATACACACAATAGTGGAGACTTAACTCCGCAATCCCCTAACAAAGGTTGGGATCCAAAGTTAACACCTGTACTTGTGTTTGTCACTGCTAACAATTAGTTTGTAAGAATCTAGAAGTTTTGGTGTTTTGTTGATGTGTTATTTATATTTGTGATCAATAAGTCCTTATTAATACTATCTGTATTTTTAAATAAAACATTTAATGTAGTTTTAATAATATCTTTATTTCTCTTATAACCAGTCATTATCAAGATCATTTTCCATATGTTCTCTATTCTGATACTAGTCTTTTTCCACTTGATCTTAGACTTGGTCCGTGTTACCCTAATATATTGATTGATCTACTGTATTACTTTTGAAATAAATTCCATTAGATTGATGTTAGAGTTGTGACATTTACATTCTCGAATTACAACACTAGCGGCATAATGGCATCATATTGCGTTACCATTAAAGGAACTAAAACGTTATTGGGTTAATATTGTAATTGGCTTATTCGATACTCTTGTCTTATCTTGATAGACGCACACTAGTGTAACTTGTCAATGTTAATGATTGTTAATGATTTTAATCTAATTTGTAATTGTTGCGTTTCAAGATTCCGGCAAGCTTGTCCTTGGCAATAGATAGGGTTGAAACTCATTTGAAATAGAAACTGTCCCGAAATTTTATACTGTAAAGGTGGCAAACAAGCATATAGTCCATTTGATGGTAAATGGTAAACGGTTATTGTAGCTTGAGACCTTGCCACACTAGGGCACATATAATAGAATATACTAGGGTTTATACGATATATATTTACGTAGTAGTAGTTTTTTTTATTATTTAAATTTATGTTTTTAGAATTGTTTTTATTTCTAGAAAACGATTTCGATAATGAATTTTTTCCAAATATTTATATAGACATCTCAACGTAGAATATAATTTAAATCATTTTCGTACAAATTTCGATGATTTTTTGACAATAGACAGATTGTTTCCGTATTGGATCTGTATGAATATTATCACGAATGCGAAAGCACAAAAACATTTTTAATGACACAAACTCTTAGATTATTTTATATTTATAAACACATACGTATATACATGTAATAAAATCTCTTAATGAAATTGTGTACTGTCAGAAATTTATGCCACTACTTTTAGGAATTCTTATATCTCCCGGCAAAGTTGTTAAAATTATTGTACATTTAATTTTATCGTGGTTTGTACAAATGACTCGACTTTTATGGCTGTGATAACTTCAAGGACAATTAGGACATGTAGTCTGTACCTACACATATAGAAGAATCAATACATCTACGTACGCATTACGTAATAAAACTACTGCATACTAAATGATATGTACTGATAGACGATAGGTATTTTATATATGTTGATAAACATAAGCACTTTTCGTTTAACCTTTTTGTATTTAAGGTTGGCGTAGTGTTTTTTTTCCTACACCCTTATATGTATTAAAAGGCTCATATATTAACTATTCATATAAATAAATGAATATACAAAGCAAAAAGTTCGAATAAAATAAAGTAAATAAAAATTAAAAGGACATATTAAGTTAATAAATGAAAGATGAACAAATGAAATAAGTTTTAATTCATACATATATACTCATGATTGTAATCTCTTATGGGGTAGTTAGTGATATTCGACGTTTTTTAATGGATATTAATTGAATGGTATGTATTTGTGCTAATAGTATATGGCGACGGGATATCATTGAGGGATGATAGGCGAAGATCAAAGCAGGTCAGTTGACCCATCATAAGGGAATTGTACGAAGGTTGGCTTGGTACATTCTTAGTATAGGGGCCGCTAGTCCCCGTTATTAACAATCTCTTCGCTCTCCTAGGTACTAGATAACTGTTCCTGTTGTGATAAATATAATAATCAAGATAGTTACATTTTCACCCTTTACCACATGAGATTGGTAGGGGTTCTGTCAGAGTTAAAAAAAATGGGACTGTTATTATTACTAAATTGTATAAATTTCCATCATCATCATCATATCTCGGAGGTATTGCCAGTAGTTGCCATACTTGGCAGGCGGATTGGCAATCACAGTTAGGCTTTACAGATCTTTTAAGATGGATGCTGTCCATCACTCGCCGTCCCTTAGTCGTTTTTACGACACTCACGGGGAAGGAAGACGCGGCTTATTCTATGGCGAGACCGCACAGTATGAACTTTAGTCCTACTTAAACGTAATCCAATACGATAGAGGTTGGACTAAAGTGCACTAAGCGTTAGGTGATATGAGGTATTATTTATTCTCATTTTATCATGACATGACACTGATTATAATTTTTAATCGACTTAATAATGAAGGAGGTTCCTTATTCACCCAGTGATAAATAAAACAAAAAGTTGACTGCCTTTTTGTATATATTATACAAAATTTATTTCAATATTGAGCAGATTTTGATTTGTTTTTTTCAAGATTGGATTACTTGATTGGTTTTATGGAACAAAATGTAAAATTTATTACATACTATGTAGCTATATTCCACGGTCCTATCCATACAAACTGTTAACTGTCCACTGCTGAACATAGGTTTCCCATAACATAGATTGGGTTGCCACTAGTGCCATCGTTTGACAGTCGAGTTGGTAACCACAGTTAGGCTTTGGTGATATTTTAGTATCGACAATGTTGCACATCCCTCGACCATATTTGTAATGATAAATGGATGGACAAATGTTTGTTACTCTTTCACACAAAAATTACTAAACGGATTTATAAGAAATTCGATACTAAATATTTATTTTATTTTTATTTTTATACAACTTAAAATGGCAAACAAGCTGGCGGCCCACCTAAAGAAAAGTGGTAACCGTCGCCTATAGATATGGGCAGTACCATGGACATAACATAGTATACTGTTGCGCCCATGATACCCCCATGCGTTGCCATTCCTGAGGACTCAGATGTTATTCCTCTGTACCCTGTAAATTCACGCCATATCCCACCCTTCGAACCGAAACACAGCCATGCAAACACAACTTCTTTACGGTTGAAACACGAATAGGACAGAGGTACCCAAGCAAACGACTTTTGTACAAAGTCTCCTTCTGGTAAATGGTACATGGGTTGGTTTTAACACATAGGATATTTTACATAGGTACTGATACACGAGCGGAACTACGAGGTATAACTAGTCAGTATATAAATTATTTATGTTCTATGTTATGATACTTGTATAATCTATTTGACCAAATTACCTTCAAATCTGTTTAGTAGTTTTTGCGTGTAAGAATAACAAATATTCACCCATCAGGGGGGAAAGGGATTGTTAGTAATGCGGATTATCAGTCCCATTGCTAACAATATACCCTTACAGGTCGATCTCCCCGTGGTCCCCCCTGGAAACCATCGTGCTGAATTCTAAGTGTATTTATCACGATGGGCTAACTGGCTTGTCTTTTCATCCTCACCTATCACATCCCTCACTGGTTCTCCGCCAGCGTATACCGTTAGCGCAGGCGGGGTTACCATTTCATTATCATTCATAAAAAAAATATTCACCCATCGTCACAAACCTTCGTATTTATAATAGAAAAGTCTTTTTGTCATTATCATCATGTAGACAATAAAATAATAAGTACAATACTGCGACAGTTGCGACTACAGGGCAATCAAATTAGGTATCAGTCTACACCTTTTGATAAAATTTTGATACAATAATATTTTATTATTAAAATTAAGGAAGATAATTGCTCTGTTATAATGTAATATAATTTATTACTTATAAATTATATACTTCCAATGTTTATTAATTTTATGAATTAACTAAATCCCACAATCTAATCTTTATGGCTTTGATGTCTTTCGCAATAATTTAACTCAAGTTATTTTATTTCTTCGACATATGCTATTAAACTTTCGTGGACAACGCAGGTGAGTTAAGGATTTTTATTTATTTTATTGTGTTGCTGGTAAACAATCAAACGTAACTAGGTATACTTCTTTGATAAAGTGTTTAAATGTGAAATTATTATAATTATCTAATTATATATTTTTTAAATATTTTGTGTACAAAATTGTTATTACTTTTTGGCACCTTAAAGAATTAACCTATTGTAATGAAAGCTGGCTTTAAACTTTTAACGTTGTATATATTTTTTAAACGATATGGAATAGCAAACAAGCTGATAGCTCACCTGATGTAAAGTGCTAACTATCGTCGTTGTTTGTAAACATTAACAGTCCATGTAGTCCTTCATGCGTTGCCATTTCTGAGGACTATCATTAATGATGATATGCCTCCATAGCCTGTAATTTCACTGCTATTCCTTTATAGTATATAAAAAAAAACTATGTCCAAGCGAAGTAGCAGATAACCATTAGTATTAGCATAAAGGATAAACACAACCAAAATACTCTTTTGGTTTCATTATGTGATGTTTAAAAGACGACACTAGCACTTGTTAGTGTTCAAAACGACACAATGAATATTCTGTCGCGGCTATTTCTTTCTTTGAAACGCATAATTAATAAATTATATTCTGAGAGATTCAGAAATAGATAAATTTTTTTTTGTTCAGCATACAACCATGAAGGTGTTCGTACTTGCTCTCCTCGCGGTGACAGCGTTTGCTGCCCCTATCGACCAGGATGTGGCCGAACCTGTCGAGCTTATTGTAAATGGAGTACCGGAAGGCGAGCCTTTGGAAATTGGTGACATTGTTGGTATCAAACTTAAGGAACATGTAAACCAAGAATTGGTATCTTCAACTGACTTGCTTTACCCATTAACCGCTGAAGGACTCGCTGAAGCTGCTGCCGCTGAACCTCAACCTGTAGACCCTGTTCAGATCGTTGACGAGGCAGATCCTGTTCAAGTTGTCGAGCCTGAACCTGAATCTGTACCTCCTCCGATTGTTCTACCTGAGCCTGTTCTTCCTGAAGAGAACCCTTCATCTATAGCAGTGCACCCAGTACTTGTGATTCCCGACCATATTCTCAACCCCATTGATCTTGATCCTTTGCCCATCGCTCCCCCTGAACCCGAAGTTGTGGAAACACCTGTAGAAGTCCTTCCAGTGCCCGCACCTCAAGTTCCCGATGGTGAAATTTACAACGATGGTCTCGTGCAAGTTACCCTGAACGCTCCTGAAGAATCCGGAGTATTAGCCACCCTCCAATCCTGGTTAAGCTTGGCAATTAACTACTTCAGCAACGGCGTTCAAACTACCCAACAAATTTTTTAAACTGTAAAATGAATTTAAATAACTACATGTGTATTAATTTTAATTGTACATGTAATATGCGCTGTATATAAAAGAAACTACGAAGTTCAAAGTAAACATAAATTGCTCAGATATTTTTGTTTTTCCTTTTTTATTTTTAATAATGAATTTAAGATTTTAAAAAAGTCATTAAAGTCATTTTTAAAAGCTCTTTGTAGTTTTTCTTCCATCTAGTAGTCTTCATACTGTGTCATGGTATCTACGAGTACGATAGAACTTTTTTTGTCAGTTAACTAAATGTAATATAGTTCTGAATCTACAGTAAATTTTTAATTTTGTATATACCTAAAACTCCTAGATTGCAAGATCTTAATAATTGTTTTTATAAAATACTAGCAATCCGCCCGGCTTTATACGTGTAAATTAATAAATTAATTGATATATTGTATTAATTTAATAGCAAAATTTATAATACTTTGGGTTATTACAATTTTCGTAAGGATTTCAATTTTTTTTTAAATAAAATATAGCCTGATAATGAAGGGTTCTGAAGGTAAATAAATGTTCTAAATCCGTTGAGTAGTTTTTGAGTTTATTAAATAATTTAATAAATAAATAATCAAATCCTTTCTCTTTATAATATTAGTATAAATATAGATTAATAAATAAACTATTGAAATATTCCCTTTTTCCATAAAAAAAGTTATGTGTCTCCTTTTTTATCTACTTTTAGTTATATTTTAGCTATGTATAATACAACAAATTTATTGTCTATTTATCGACTGGCTTCAGAAAGGAGGAGGTGTTTCATTTGGGTTGTATTTTTTTATGTTTGTTGCTTCATAACTTCGTCAGTTCTAAAGCGATTTGAAAAATTCTTTTTTCATTTGAAAGAATTATTTACAGATTGGTTCAATAGAAATTATATAACAATTGGTTGAGTAGTTTAGTTTTTAAATCAATATAACTGCTTCTGACACAACTGAAGTCAGTTTTATTTGTGCGACACAATCTTTAGCTATTGTATGGTTATAAGTATTTCCACAGGCATGATTTCAAAGTAGATAGTGTTAATTTTGACAATAGTTGTTCGTATAAGTGACCGTGATCAAAATGATGAATTCCGAAGTATGACAAATGGAATCTAAATAAATTGGTCTATTAATATGACTGTCTGTCTGTCGCATAATTACATAGTGCAATAATATAGTCAGAAATTGCGTCTTCTACTCTTCTACTACTTTTTCGTCATACTCTACCTTTAACAATGCGTCAGTCTTTTTTAAAATAGGTGTTTTAAACTAATGCAAAATTGTTATGGTAATTGTATTTCCTTTGGAATAATTTATAATATAAATTAAGGAAATTTGGAATTTTTCTGTTACATTATGAGGATAAATAATTATTTTATATTCCATTATATTTAATACATATAAATGTATATATATGATTACGTTCCACTTATTTGTTAGATTTCAAGATATCAATTGCGCTATTTGTCAGATTCAAGATATGAACTTTTCGTTGTGTTTGTATTTGAAGAACTCTAAGAATTATAAAAAATATTTTTCGCTTGGGCGATAAGGACATTAATCAAATTCAAGCGGGCTTGGTTACAGAAACAGAAAATTAATGAATAATCGTATATGTATATTGCATTTATTTTTTTGAGGTCAATATTTTTTTGTAACACAGGAGACAAACGAGCATGGGGCTCACCTGATGGTAATTGACTATGGTCGCCTGTTATATATTCTGTAATTAATGGACAAGGGCAGGAAGAGAGTGACAGAGACGAAGATACTTTTGCAGCCGTACCTTTTGTGACGTGAGTCGTAACGTTTACACGTAACAGATGCAAATAACTATTTGAAGTGCTCTATAATAAACAGTAACTATTTGAGAACTCTGTCGAAATAGATTTTGGCACGTTCTCAAACAAGTTGGGGCAACTCCGGTTACTTACGTTGTTAGTACAGACTTTGCTTAGAGCCGAAACTTAGCCACTTCGCTTTGACAACTTGAAACTATTAACGTGTTATTTTTTAAGGAAATCTGAAAAATAATAAATGTAATGTTATATAAAAATATTTCCTGTTTAATAATAAATTATGTATTACTATATAAATGTTTACAATATGTCAAGTCAAATAGGTATGTGTCTACCTTAATGACACATTAAAATCCCATTACTAGGTAAAGGTCTCCCTGCATTAAAGGAGGGTTTTCTTTTATTATTATCGTTGGACAAGCGGCTTGATATAGTTTTATTACCATATACTTATTGCTATTACAATTTAGATTTTTTACGCATATATATCTACAGAATGCCTATAGTGTGATTTGTGCAAAGATTTACATCATAACTGTGTTCAAGTTTACGTCAAAAATTTATATCATAAATTTATTGAATTAAACTAGTGTGAGCCACTTTAACTCTTTTTTTTTTATACAACTTAGAATGACAAACAACTGACAGCCCACCTGATGGAAAGTGGTAACCGTCGTCTATAGACATGAGCAGTACCATGGACATAACAGAGTATACTGTTTCGCCCATGATACCCCCCATGCATTGCCATTCCTGAGGACTCGGTGTTATTCCTCCGTACCCAGTAAATTCACACCATATCCCACCCTTCAAACCGAAACACAGCCATGCAAACACAACTGCTTTACGGTTGAAACACGAATGGGACAGAGGTACCCAAGCAATCGACTTTTGTACAAAGTCTCCCACTCTTTGACTCTTCTTATGACTTCCTAGGGATAAATAACATTTGTGACGTAATACTGTCTCCATCCCTACATGGAGAATAATTATTATGTTCAGACAAAGAGTAATGCTGTAATAGGAGATTTTATTTGTTGCGATTTAATCGAGCGTTTTTCATTTTGACACCATGACATAAAATTTTTCTTCATATTTTTTTGTGCTCCTAAAATTTTTTTGGTCTCAAAAATTAGTCTAACTTTATTTTACCTTCCATCAGAATGTTTTCATTTTAAATACTATCCTATTAGAAAATATAACGCGAGTATCTACTTGAATAATTGATGTATCTATTCTGAATAGGTAATCAACTAGCTGCCAGCGATTTTGTCTGCGTGTTTCAGATGTATCGATTGATCAGTATAAAAAGCAGCTTACATGAAGGACATATGTTTGATACTAAATACTATGTATATATGAGATCCCGTAACGATCAGTTGAGCTGATAAGGTACCAGAAATAAAGAAAACCTAAACTGATAATCATAATCATTCATACTACAAATTTCCATATTTAATAATATTATAAACTAATTTCTCTAAAATCTGTATTTTGCGTTCTTAGGAAAATATATATGTAATATATTAATATTCAGGATATGGTCAAATTACATTTAACTAAATCTGTCCAGTCGTTTAAGTGTATATATGTATCAAACATCTGAACATACCGACATTTTTCATATTTTCAAATTTATTTATTTTATAGAACTAATAATTTACCGTATGGTCCCGATATAGAATGAACGACGCCTTCCTTTAAAGTGGTTGTCGTAAGGGGCAACTAACTTAATGGTCGGAGGATGGGTAGCAGCGTCCTTCTTAAATATCACCAAAGCCTAACTGTAGTTGCTAACCGACTTGCTAAGTGTGGCAACTACTGGCAAAACCTTCCTTTATGGGAGAGGCCTGTGCTCAGCAGTGAACAGTTAACGGCTGAGATCTTAGTATTGATAATATTTTTTTAACAATCTATTCATCTTTAGTTTACTTTCATAATTAAGTATAATATCTGTAAAGATTAGTCGTGGATTTATCATCCCATAAAAAGATTTATTACCAGTAGCCTAAGACTTACTCGTGGTGGTCGCTTTATAGCCATGCACCTGTTGCATTTTAAATGCCTCATGATCACTATCTGTCGTTAGGGGCGACTAAGTTGTTGCTATCGGAGTGAAGTATCTTTCGCTTAAATTGTTATATTCATTTTAAAGTATTTTGTTATGTTCCTATTATTATTATAAATGTAAAAGATTGTAAAGATATGGAAGTATTTAGATGTTTGTCAGTCAACCACGTTAAAACGCATGAACTTTAAAGGAAAGGGATTGTTAGTAATGGGGATTAAATTACATATGTGTACTTAGAGGGGGACAATTTGGGTTGAGCCTACAGAATAATCTAGTGTTTATCTCAGAATATGGAGCAAAACTTACAGTTATATGTAAAGACAGGTCGGAGAGTGCATATGCACCAATTTTAAGAAGCCAGGGTCAGGAAAATAATCTTAAATATACCGGTGCTAATAATCCCATTATTTAAACCCCTATCAGGTTACCTTTCACGCGGTCCTTCCTGGAAAGCAACTTAGTTAATTTATGGTGAACTCATTAACATTACAAAGGGTCAACTGCTCTGAAGTTCTCTTCACCTGTCATCGCTTACTACTAGTACTCGGTCTCTACAAAAAACCGACTTAAAAAAAATGAAACAAATACCAAAAAACTTACAAATAAATAAACTGATTAATCATAATTATATCAGTCGTTGCCTAGCATAGGCCTTCCCTATAGACTGCTGTAAGGAACGGGCCTGAGAAACCTGCATTCACTGACTTCGTGTAATGCATTTGAGGTCGTGATTTCATCTAGTGGTGGGTTGTCCTACACTACGTTTGTCTGTATGGGGTCGTTACTCGTAAGTAACGTAAGAAAAAGAAGATATAAATTAATTATCTATTAATAATCTTATTACCTATAAATTTTAAACAAAATTTGATTATATATCCTATTTACTGATCAATTTGATTCGGTGCCAAGCACAAAGAGAACAAGAATAATAATACCTACGATGATATATATAGTTTAAATTAATATCGAAACATAATTGTAATGTAATACTTAAATATTTTTGTTAATGGTCAAAGATAAATCACCTGTGTGACGCGGTGATTGGTTGGTGATTCCGTGTTTTGCAAGAGACACGGAAAATACAGTAAGTGCTTTAAATTATTCTCAATTTCGTGTATAATATATTATAGTATATGTAATATATGTGTAAGTATATTTGTTATTTATATATATTTATTCGTTTATATATGTAATTTTAGTACGTATGTATATCAATAATTACTAGTACTGCATTCGAGTATTCTGACACTTCCCTATGGTTGACTGGGAGAGAATGCTTTTAGCATTAAGTCTGCCATGTACACATAT